CATGGAGCAGTGTGAAGAGATCGGGCAAAGGAGACAGAGGAGATAAACTCATGGCAGTGAGGCAGAAACAGCTTCTGTGACTCTGACTTGGAGAGCAACAGATGAGTGGAGGCTAGATGGGATTTATGAGTAGGTACTGATGTTTCATTGACAGAGGATTTGACAAAATGGGAGAAGCTACAGCAACTTAAATAGCTCTAGAAAGGGCTCAGCTCTAATAGATAAAGAATACATAAGAGAAAAAGAAATGGCCAATAGAGAAAAGTTCCTGAGAAAAGAATGTCATATTCAAATAGCATAATTCAGATTAAAAATTCATAAATATTATTAGATATATTTATCAGATTGTGGAAATGTATGTTTACTCCTAATTTTCTAATGTCATGTATTTATGAGATGTATGTCCTATACTTGAGAAAATTTATATTTTTACCTTTGAATACAATAGATTACATAAATAGTTTCTGAATGTGAACCACTGTTCTAATCCCTACATAAATCTAATTTGATTAGGAGACATATTATACACATTATAGGATTCCAGTGTTTTTTTTACCATGTTCATACACAAAGTTGTTGCGTAATTATCCTTTGTTCTATTCTTGGACAACCTTTGTGCCAAACTTATACCGTGTCATAAAATGAGATGGATAGAATATTTTATTTTATTAAATAATCCATATAATGTAGAGATTATCTCATTTAGTACAACTCATTTATAAAACCATTTAGGTCTGCTGTTTTGGAATCAGGAATTCTTAGGGGAAAGTGTTATAACATTTCACTGTTGAGTCATTTTTCTAGAGTGCTGTTGCTTTCTTGAGACAATTTTGACCGTTAACTTTTGTTGTTTTTCATAGAGAGACTTTTGCTATAGGACACATGCACTCTCAAGAGAGAAATACAGAAAGCGAGAAATTCACCCTCCAGAGGAGATGGCCATGCCACAATCCTTTCTCCTCCATTCTCCTCTCTCAGGATTTTGGGCATGCACCTATGTGTACCTGGCATGAGTTCTAAGTTGCCGGGTCCGGGACTCAAATTGCAGTTGACTATATGGGAGTCCAGTGTCATAACCATTATGCCATCTGCTGGTCCCAACCATTAATTGTTTACTAAAAATAGTATCCATTTCATGTTTTTTAAAATATCTTGCATACATTTTTTTTCTTATTATTCCTTTACAATGTTTTATTTCATTCTGTATATATGTTCTTATTTCTCTTCTAACAATGTATACTTTTTGGACATTTGCTGGTTTTGTTGGGCTTCTTAAACACTTTTTCATGATTATAAAAGTGAAGAAAATGGAAACTTAAGAAAGCAAAGTGGCTCAGAGAAGATGACACCTGCAATTGGTAGTAAACCCAAGTCTCCTGGTGCCTAGCCTAATGAGCTTCCTCTTAGACTTTCCACCTTGCCCTTGTTCATATTATAACCCAGTTCAAATTATGCTGAGGGGAATAAAGTTGTCACGTGATTTTATTTGGGCAGAACAGGCCTCAATATGACACTGGGGAGCAATCATAATATATAGGCGCCAACAACTAGTAAATCATCATGTCAACCCCAAAGGGTTTACCTGATGCCATGCTCAGAGTACGTTCTGAACAAAACCATGACCCAAACATACCACTACCATCTGACAACATGTGTAGTACAGCAATACGAAGCCATGCCCATGGGAAATCAATGCAACGGCAACTATGATATTGATTATGTTGACTTCTATATTTGCTCATGAAATTAGTATTAGTAGATGTGTATTTTAACCAGTAAATTTTCTGTTTCAGATGCACATTTAACTGAAGGGTTCCCATTTCTCCTTAAAACACTTTAATGTAAGAGAGAAAATGTGATGAATTCACTAATAAGCTAGTGAAATGTCTCTCTTGTGATGACAAGGAACAACAAATAATTAAGAAACATTCTGACTTTTTTTCAGAAATTTAAAGCCTTTAAGCAGGAGACATTTATCCATTAAAGCTCTCAATAGGAATACTCACTGTGAGAAAATGACAATGCTATTTTAGCCCAAATGGAAAATATTCATAAAATTCTTTCTTCTCTTTGTCTACTGAATTCAATTTGACAGTAATATTTAAAAATGTAAATAGCATCTGCCTCTTTTACATATCTGAATATACAACTTTAATCCTCAATTGCCCAACATCAATTACATAATTCGACCTTACATAGGTTATTCAACATGGACAAAATTGAATTTACTGTGTTTTCATGCAAAACGGCCACAAAACTCCTCTTTGTGCTTCTGTAGTCAAGATCAATAGCTGTCTATCCAGCATCTATTTGTGTCTTCTTTCAGAGAATCAGCACCCTCATTTCATTTTAAGACATTCAGAAGTCTTGTTAGACTGCACTGCCTAAACATTCTTGCAGTTCACTATGGAGATGTGAATATTTCTGATGTAGTTGCTTATACATCTCATCTTGTCATCTCCAGCTGCTTTGCTCTTCAAGGACAACCTGTGGCTTCTGCATCTGGTAGTCCAGCACCCTATGTTTACACACCCTCCATGTAGGTAGATGGATTCGATAAATATTCGTCGAAGAGGTGAACATGTGTGTTTGATTTTGTGCGTGTGTGCATGTATTATGTGATATGTGTGAGTGTGCGAATTTGTGTGTACACACGAAGGCTTTAAAATCAAGGGTGTAAAACTGCTGAGCTAAAATAATGCAACAGACTAAAGCAAAAGACAAAGGAGAAATATATCTATTTAAAATGTTTCTTTTTCCATATGGATGGAAAAATTTCTAATTAAGCTAGTAGGTCATTCTCATGAATGCTAATAGGGTGCATGTGGTGGTGTGGAGTGTGTGCTTATTTTATAAGATATTTTGGAGTGGTCATGTGAATCATTTTTCAATTCAGTACCCATTAAAGTAGGCAAACTATAACAGTAAGCCATCTAGTCTTTACTATCCTAAAAATATACTTCTTGTTTGCCTTTTACAATTCTTGATTCTGCATGACGGCTTTCCTACATCCTCTGTTTAAATATCTGGGTAAAGCTAAACTATATAATAAATGCTAGATTGCTGGAACTGTAATAATCGCCCTTATCTTTGCCTTATAAAGTACTCTACTCACAATGATTTCAAAAGAAGGTAGTTTGTTTAAAAGTCTCAGTTGTATGACCTTAAGCCCAAAGGTCTAAAGACAAATGTTTAACTCCAAAGGCATAAAATATCCGCATGACTTATAAATGCAATGACATTTTCAGCATTAACATAAGATTTGACCTTTTGTGGCCAGTCTTCTGGGATGAGGTGTTTTAGTGTGTTAGGTTTCTTTTCCTTCCTATTTATTGTTCAAAGGCTTATCTTGAAGGATAAACTTCAAGAATGCAGCAGTTCAAAGACCAGAAAAGAACCCCTAAGAGCAGAACATAGCAGAGTAAAACTCAATTAAATTTTAACCTTTCAAACTTTAAAAGATCTGGAGTGGTTTCATTTCCTTTTTACCTGAATTAAATTGCATCCCAAAAGACACCAATAAAGATGCAAGGAAACATACTGGCAAAAACAAAATTACATTCCAAAAAATTAGGTTAAATTAAAGCACATCTCATTTATTTACTGCAGTGTAAACATATTCATGTTTCACAAATTCGTATTTATTGATTATATAATAATAACAAAAATGACATCTTCCATTTTGACAATGAGACTTGGTTCGAATTTGACACACACACAAAAATAGAATCCTAAATTGTATCTTCTTTAAGAAAGTCTTTTTTATATGATACAGGAGAATCAAAGTTACCCATCAAAGCTATTCATGATCGACTTAAACTTTACCATTAAAAAAAACCCTCTGAATTAGAATATTCAAGAATGATACATTTAACAAAATCTTGCTTTAGTAAAGAAATTTGAAAAGGCTGTGTTTTCATTTAATAACTAGCAGTACTCAGTGCTAGTGATAGATAAGGCCAAATTTAAAAATGAAACTAATGTGGTCTTCCATTGAGATTTTAGAAAAAGTATTGTTAGAAGAATGTGGGAAATAAAATTAACTTGGAAATGTCTGAAAATTATTTTCAGTAGTAGGCACACTGATTTTATATATTTTTAAAACTATAAGATGCAAAAATAACAAGTTTCTATAGCCCTTAGAGTCATGTCTCAGCATTTCATATCTGAAAACATTTTGAGGACAATATCTTGAGAATTCAATACTTTTAAAACAAAATTTTAAATATATTTGAAAATTAATGTTTATGACATGCTACACTGATTTTGCTCATACGGCCAGAAGAAAACTAGGTATTTCCTCAGGTTATTGACTTTTAAACTGAAATATGCTTGTTTAAACTCAGACTGCTAAGTGTTCTAGCCCCAGAGACTGAGATTGACTAGGTCCGGGCAGAGCCTGAGAATCTGCATCTCCAACAAATTCTCAAGAGATGCCAATGAAGCAGACATGGAGACTACCCTCCTATAAAAACCACTGAATCAGAATAACAACAACAACAATAAAATAGCAATTATTACTCCAAATTAAGGAAAGAAAATACATCCACATTCTGTTTTTTTTTTGTATAGTCCCATAAAATTATAATCTAGGAGATTCTGGTAAAACTGTTACAAATTAGACAGAGTCATTAGTTCTATTTATTTAATTTTGCTAAAAGATTGACTAAAATAATTCTGTAATTCCTTTAAAAAATCTTTTGTATAAAAATAATTAGAAATTTTATTCATCTTGTACCATGTACTATCAGCCAGGGTTAGGAAAAGTCTTCATTTAAATTATTGAATTTGATTTTAAAATAATTAAGCATATCTAGTAAAAAGATGTCTCTCTATCTCTGCATCTCTATGGCAAGTGACACACCCTATAGCAAAAACCTCTCTCAAAAACAAAAAGCTGACACAAATCAAAAGAAAAAAATCTTAGGAAAATTTTTTTTAACCTTGGGAGCCTCAGTTTCCTTAAAAATACAATGAAATGGTTTGACTGGATGATCTGGGAGACCCGTAAGCTCCAGAGCATCTGTTTCATCTCTATCAAGTCATTCATTTGCACCTTGCACTAAGAAACTGGCACCCATCTGGTGTGGCAAAGTGTGTAAATGTGTTGGAGGAACTCCTTAAAAGTCTACAGAAAAGAATGACTTTTCAGTTCGGGGCTATTAATTATCAAAGAGTTTCAAAACAGAAAATGAAAGTGAAAATGTAATTTGATTGCCTGGAGCCTGTCTTCCAGCTCCTCAGCTGGACACGTGCTTGTCTGATCCTTGAGTATTAATTATAGGTTCCTTCCAAAAACTTCTTTAGTGTCTAGATAGGTAGGTGATGTGGGCGGTGGCAGCCAGTTGATGGATCAAGAGTAAACTCTGGAGTTTGCTGCTCTTGACTTTGCTGCCGTTCAGTAGCAAAGTTAATAAATACCTGAAAGAAATGATGAAAATCATTGTTAACTTACAGGAACATGCAAACTTTTGGTCTCAACTATTACAAGAAGGGACAATCTCTCATGACCCTGCCCAACTTTCCCTCATGTCCAACACGATGGTGAATAAAGTGAATCCCTATTGTACATGGACCTTGAATGGTCATGGAAGGTATATGACAAACAAACTGAAACCATCCACATTGGAATTTAGTAAATTTGAGTAACGTTAATGAAAATAAAGGATAAGCTTAAGAAATCATTCAACTAGGCATAATGGCTATGTCGCTGGGCTCCCCTGTATTCGACCGTGGTTCGAGACCTGGACCCAGTGGCTTACACTCACACTGGGGAATGCGCATGCATGCCCAAGATCCCAAGAGGAGAATAGAGGAGAAGGGATTGCAGCATGGCCATCCCCCCAGGAGGATGATTTCTTGCTTTCTGTCTCTCTGCCTCTCTCTGTCTTTCTGGCAAGTGCATGCACCCTATAGCAAAAAATGAAAAGAAAAGAAAAGAAATAATTTGACTAATTTAAAAATTAGCAGGATTAACTCTGATGAGCATACCACAATGCAAGTTGCTAAATTAGTTAAAGTACTCTTACTGGGGACCAGTAGATGGCATAATGATTATATCACCGGACTACTATGTATTCAACCATGGTTCGAATCCTTGTCCTAGCAGTTTAAAGCTCATGCCAGGCTCATGTGCATGTATGCCCAAGATCCCAAGAAGAGAATGAAGAAGGGATGTGGCTGTTGTCCGATGGGGGGGTAATTTTTCACTTTCTGTCCCTTCGGTTTTCTCTCTCTCTCTCCAGCAAGCATATGTGCCCTATAGCAAAAATATTTCTAAAATAAAAAAAAAGTACTCTACCTGTTCCAAAGTGGTCTGGTTAATGGAGTAATGTCTGATGTTCCAGAGAGTCTTATTGTTCTCTAGGACTTTGAACAAGTCAGCTAAACATCCCCATCTTTTGGGCACATGATATTCCAATAAATTAAGGCGCTGTCCCTACAAGTCAAAAACATAAAAAGTAACACATGATCAGTGACTATTAAAAAGATCACATTATATATTTACTTGACAAATACATTTAGTTGTTTTTTTTTTCAAACCACACACATAAATACCAATTAAGTACCTAGATTAATTTTCACATCTCCACTGAATGCTTATTAGTGGCAATTTACAATGAGGTGTGTTTGATAAATGACATTCACCTGGGTTAAATTGCTGTTCTGTCCTGATATACCCTATCTTGCCACAGGCAATAGGAAGACCTCTTTAAGGGATCAAAAGCTATCTGCAGATATTTGAGAAGTACAGAGTTAATGTGGCATAACAGAGATGGATGGAGATGCCCTGAACTTCACACTGGGACTTGGATTCAGGTCTCAAATGTTCATATCACAAGCCAGTAACTCTTGGTGATATATTAAACCCATGTGAGAAGATGCTATCTGTTTGTTACGGTCATTTTGAATGGTACTCAAGCATGAATGATAATGTCTTGCATAGCATACTTTTTCCATGGTAGGATTCACTAAGTGGTTGTTTTGAAATGAATAGGGAAAAGCTACTTTAAGGACTATAGCCGTTAGAAGGTATTGGTGAATAGCATCACACAGTTATCTGAAGAGAAAGTGTCATGTGCAGTGCTTCTCAGACTCTACTGTATGTAGGAACCAAGAGGCCACCTTGTTAGAATGCAGATTTAGTTTCAGTAGGTTGGGGTCTGAGATTCTCCATGTCCAAACAGGTCTCATGTGATAAAGATTCTACTAGCTCAGGGACTACATTTGATCATACCAAATTTGTAGCAAATTATGATCCCAAGTGTAGGGTTTTTATTATCAAATAATACTGAAACCATCAAACCTAAAAACCTTGCAGCAAATATAGGGAAGGAAATAGCATTTACGCTGTTCTAATCTGAACAAAATGACCTATGCAGTGTTTTGCCACAGAAGGGAGGGGTGACACATAATCACAGACTACTCTGGACAGTCTATCACATGGCCAAGCGGGCTTGTTATTTCAGAGAAGTTAAGCAACACCAGTTGCCCATATTAGCTTGAATAAAAAGACATGGTTTTTGGTTCGCAATGAAGCCAAAGCCGTAAACAACATCTTATGATAGCACAGAATTAAAACAGAAGAAAGTCTAGTACGTTTACAAGATTTTTCAGCCCAAACCAACAAAGTAATGGAGAATATCAGCATTACCTTAAACTGGGTTCCTGGAAAATAGAGTTTCAAACAGTCAGAGACAGTGCTATGTTGCTTTGTTTCCTTACAGAGCCAGAGTTTTACTGTATAACCATCACCAAACCTGAGAGTTAAATAAAATATAAAACATGGTTATTTATATATAGACCTAAGTTGAATTAATTTTAAGTCTTTCTTCTCAGGATGCATGAAATGGGAATAATTAGTCCAAACTGTTGGGAGATTTTGGATTTTCCAAAATAAGATAGGCAGAAATTAATTTTCAGTTGACAATGCAGTTTGTTGTCATTTCATTTACATTGGCACAGAAACTGATTTATCTTAAAAAAAAAAAAATCAGTGAGTCCTGGAATCTACACATAATCATCAGAAGAGGGAAGGTGAAAACTGTGAAACCCAAGTATTGAGTTAGAGAAAATCAGAAACGGGCTGGAAACCAGCCCTGAGCAGCCTTGAGGCTGGCCTCATTGCTTCAAGGCCTGTAATAATTAAAACAAGGCTGGGGAAAGATCAAAGGAAATGTAGGAGTAATGTAACAAGGCCCTTGTTTGTTTGTTTTATACAATAATTCTCCTATTGTATTTCAACTCAGCCGGGTGGATGTCCCTTGTGGAAGGAAGTAATTGGCCCAAGAGGCACTTTTCCTAATATGCCAGAGCTGGAGATGGTAGTTCCCACCATGCTCAAGCAATGACACATGAGGTTACAGCCATACCCTATAGGTTGAATGAATAAAAAAGGCATGCTCAAAGTCTTACCATCACACTTATAACCTGTTGTAGAAAAAAAAAAAGTGTTATGTTCAAGTAGATTTTTCCTAAGTGAGGTAGCCATCCTAATACATTATCAAATTATTTTTTCATCTGTCTGGTAAATATTCAGAGTCCAAACTCATGAGATTTTGTTTTAGTGATACCAATCACTCTGAAAGCAGCTGGGGTTCTGTTTTCCTGTCTTGACTTCAAGTTGTCGGATGCCATTTTCCACACTGTCTATGCATGGCCCTACCCTAAATGCCCCTATCATTTTGAGCTTATAGTTTCTTTCTTTCCTTTCTTTCTTCTTCCCTCTCTCCCTTCCTTCCTTTTTAGTGGTAGTGGTGGTATGTGTCTGGGAAATTTTTTTTTTCCTTTTTTTTTCTTTTTTTGTCAGATAGGGTATTGCGGCATAGTGATCCTGCTAACTCAGCCTCCATAGTAGCTAGGATCACAAATATGTACCAAAACACTCAGCTTTTTCAAATAATCTTGCTAAGTTGTCCACACTGGTTATGAATTCACAATCCTCCCGCCTCAGAGTTCCTAAAAACCCAGAACTATGGGCATGTACCACAATGCCTGGCTTTTAAGTTGGGTAATGGTCTCACATAGCTGAGAAATTGTTAAGAACAGTGACAAAATTGGGACCAGCAGATAGCATAATGGTTACGTAGCTGGATTCCCACGTAGTTGACTACAGTTCAAATCCCGGACCTCGTGACTTGAAACTCACGCCAGACGTGAGTGCATGCGTACCCAAAATCCCAAAAGGAGAATGGAAAAGTAAAGGACTGCAGCTTGGCCATCCACCCGAGGGGTGATTTCTCTTTTTTTGTCTCTCTGGTGAGTACATGCACCCTATAGCAAAACTCTCTAAAAAAAAAAAATTGATAAATTGATAAAGTATACATACATGCATACAGAGACATATCACCCTAACGCTTTTCTGTTAAGCTACTACTGAGAATTTCCTTTCTTTTCTTTTCTTTTCTTTTTTTTAAATTGTTTTTTTTTTGGGGGGGGGGTTCTGCTATAGGGTATGTGCATTTACTGGAGAGACAGAGAAACAGTAAGAGGGAAAGTGAGAAATCCCCCCTCCCCACCCAAAGGGGATAGCCATGCCACAATCTCTTCTCCTCCACTGTCCTCCTGGGATTTCTGTCAGGCACACACACATACCCAGCATGAGTTTCAAGCCACCAGGTCCAGGACTCAAACCATGGTCAGCCATGGGGGAGTCCAGCACCTTAACCAGCACACCACTTGCTGGTCCTACTTTTGAAGGCCAATAAATGGGTCAGTGCAGGAGGAGCATGTTTGGCAGCTGTTCCTCTGTTTCTCAGTAGTGTCAGAGAGGCTGTGCTGCTGATCACATGGCTCATCTCATTCTGTCTTCACTGAGTGCTCCAAAGTGAGTGTGTATTTCAGTGTTTTATGTAGGGAGAACATTGGGGTCCAGATAATAGAGGGGGCTTCTCAAGGCAAAATGTTGTTGGAGCTTTGTAAATAACTCCTTGGAAAGATTACAGCTATGTCTCTGTGTCTGAATGTCGTTTCCTAAGAGAAGAGAAGAGGGAGGTGTTAGTGTTTGGACAAGTGTTTCCAGCCTTGTGATTTTTTTTACTTTATTCATGATAGAACACATGCACATGCATGTAAGAGAAAGGATCACCACAGGGTCTGGTCACACCACAGTTTCCTTCCTCAAGTCCTTAAGCCCATCAGCTCCTAGGCACTAATAGTGTGCCCAGTGGGTTTTAGGGCTGATAGGACTAGGAATTCAAACCACAGTTGCCATGTGGGATCCAGCTTCTCATGAGCAGCACATCACTACTGCACCACAGAGCTGGCCTTCGTGATGTTAAGAATTCTAATGACCTGACATAAAGACATTATTATGCTACTGACCCTGGATCTGGAAGCTTGGGATTCAATTCAGCTCCTTCATTAATATGTAGGACAATGGGAAGTCAGTTAAATTTTCTCTCCTAGATTGCTTCATCTAGAAAATGAAGCTAATGCAAGAAGTCTTCAAAAAGCTCATGGAAAACACGCATTATTAAAACAAAAACTATACATAAATTTCAATTTTTTTGTACCAAAATAAATGTATACTTCAATTCCATTTTTAAACCAATTTTTAAAATTTACGTTCCATATTGTGCATCTCTATAGCTCACATTATAATTGTCAAAGATGCACATAATATGTAGCAATCAAATCAAGGCTATTATTATATATGTTATTTTCAACAGAGAGCTTTACATTTTATTGTCTGTTAAGTGTTTCTTCCCTTTGCCCCTTCCATCTGCCCTCTACCTCCCATTTCCCCTCCCTTACAGTCTCTGATATCTAAATTTATTCCCTCTACTATCATATTTATGGATTTTTCCATTTCTGTCACAGAGTTCAGACATTCAGTATATATACTGAGTGGGGATATATAGTGTGTGTCTTTCAAAGACTGTCTTCAGTTAGCATTATGTCTTCCATGAGCATGAGAAATAGAGAGGAAGATGAGCATCCTCCAAGAGTCTCACACTATAATCCTCCCCAAGCCTTCCCAGTCAGCCAGGATCATGGCTGTGTGCATCCAGCATGTACAGAGAGATTCAAAAAGTTTGTGAAGAAATAGAATTCAAATATGAGTTTATTTTGGTACAAATTAAAAACTGAAACCCATACTTAGGTTTTTTATAATATGCATTTTCCATGAATTTGTTGAAGATCCCTTCATTTAGGCTGATCAGAGACCTGATTTATATCTTCCATATAAATCCAATCTTGCTTGAGCAGTGTGCTACTGCTTTACCACCAAGCTGGCCCTCAAAGAACTTTTAGAAGCCCCCTTAAAATAACTACCTGATAAGATTGTTAGAGGTTTGAATAAAATGATCCTTGTAAATCACTTGGAACAATGTGTGTTTATGTAAATAAACAAACAAGTAAATAGAGGAATTCTGATTCTACTCAGAATATAAACCACAATAGGAGAATTCTCTATTTGGGGTAAAGATGCTCACGTTTTATCTGAGGACCTTAGATGAAAGCAGATCAAATAATCTGGACATGAAACTCAAGTACTACATAAAAATCCAATGGTGTAAGGGAACAGTGGGTGTAGAGATGTTTTTAGCTTTCATGTACAATAGAATCCACTTTCACTGTTATTAAGAGTCACAGCTCAACTGGTATATTTTGCTAATGTATTTTGAAAAATTCACGCTAAATTTCAGCAATTCTCTAATAAATCATCCAGAAGTATATATGCATATTCATATTTTAAATTATGTCAAAATTAAGCTTCATTTGAGGCAAAACACTTCCAGCTTTCCTATAGATAATCTGAATTCTATGGAAAGATGTATACGCTTAGCAAAGAAAGAAAGACAAGAAGAAGATGACTGAATAGAGACGCTCAGCATACCTCATCTCCACAAAGAAAGATCCGAACAACTGATAAATAGCACTTCAAAAAGAGGAGCGAGGGAACCAGCAATTAGCGTAATGGCTATGTCGCTGGACTCCCACGTAGTTGACCGCGGTTCACGTCCCGGACCCGGTGGCTTAAAACTCACGCCGGGCACGTGTGCGTGCGAGCCCAAGATCCCGAGAGGAGAATGGAGGAGAAGGGATTGCGGCGTGACCATCCCCTCTGGGGGGTGATTTCTTGCTTTCTGTCTCTCCGTCTCTCTCTGTCTGTCTGGCGAGCGCACGCGCCCTATAGCGAAAATCTCTCAAAAAAAAAAAAAAAAAAAAAAAAGAGGAGCGAGGAGGGAACACCCGAGCACGGTCAGGAAGTAAACATTACAGTCTCCATATATTTCCTTTGGCAGGAATACATATCAACGTCTGCCAGTGCCTTTGTGATCAGACAACAACTGTGGATGCAGTAGTGTGGCTTTGAAGGGCAGGCTACTATGAGTTGAGGCTGGGGTCCTCTGATCTGGATGGGGGTCTACAGTACATAGTGCTGGCATGAAACACCAACACAGAGACCAATAGAACAGAATAGAGAACCCATAACAAATCCATGTATGTACAGCCAACATGATTTTTGACAAAGGTCCCAAGAACATTCAGATGGAGAAATGACAGCCTCCTCAATAAATGGTGCTGGGAAGAGTGGATATCCATGTGCAGAATAAAGAACTTACACTCCTATATCACCATACACAAAAATTAACTCAAGATGCATTAAAGACTTAACACCCAAAACTATGAAATGACTAGATAAAAACATAGGGGAAACATTTCAGAGCACTGTTCTGAGCAAAGAATTTTTAAATAAGACCTCAAAAGCTGGGGCAATTAAAGCAAAAATATGCAAATGGGATAATATTAC